CAATTTTGGCATGGTCTCTCTAGAAAATGATTATATATGACTGATTATATGATTAAACATGATTAAACTATATTGAACAATCAAACAAGAAAGACTTTGGACCACAAAGTCACATCAGCTGTGCGGCCCAACTATTCAAACCAATCTGACACAAAGGAAACCCATGTTTGAACGCGGGTGAACGAGAATCCGGTAGACATAGGATACGACATTGCAAATGATCAGAAACATCAGCAACCTTCTTTTGTTTGTTCTCATAATTTTCTTTGTGCCAAACATTTTGTAAGGTTCCAAATGAAATGCTGGCGCTACAACAAATTGAACCTCACCCAGCGGCTTCAAAACTACAGATTATTGCAAATCGCACTTCGCCCCAAGAATCCCAAACCTCGTGAACTTTGATAAAGCATCATACATATCATATGGAACAAGACTGAAATGGAAAGGACTCTTCAAGAAGTCTCAGTTTTTTAAAAGCCTTTAGCATGTTCTCCTCGATTTGGCCTTGAGAGCGCACAGATAATTGTAATATTTGGGTAGGGAACTTTGCCAGGAAATGCTCTCGTTGACTTTTTTTATCAAGGATTGCAAGTAATCTTCAGCACATGATTCAATAGTTCTTTTGCACCTTAAAAAGCGCAACTTGTCGTATAGGATTGAGGAAAAAACTGAGACTGGTGTTTTCCTGGGGATGTTTATATTTTCGCAGTGTTTTTTACTATTGCTTGATATTTTTAACAATCATGCTTGTACTATTGCATTATGATATAATAGTTATAATAGTATGCAATGTTTATCATATTCTAGACCTTTTTTGACACTGAAGAGTCTTCTGACTGCAACCCTTCCAAGGTATGAGTTGCTTGCCAGCTTTCCCAAAGATGGATACTGCGTCGGTGAAGCCACTGGTCTTACTACTTTGCTTCTGGCTGCGCTACCTAGTCGTTGCTGCAGATGAGAAGGACATGCCTCAGCCCCAGGTTATTCACCGAGACGCGCAGCTTTCCAGGCTCCTTTCTGTAGAAGGAACTTTTGCTAAAGTAGCGCTCATTCGGAGCTGGTACGTTTGAAAGAACCACATTGCGCATGCATGTACTTGTACAAGGAAGTCTATTGGTTTTGCTTGGTGAGTTGTGAATGTGGCAGCCTAGTCTTTGAGAAAGAGATAAGTCTTACGTCAATTGATGCCCAGAATTATTACTGTAGGCAAGTAAGTCATTCTTAAAAGCACATGCTTTCACTGAGGCCGTACGTTCATGCTCCAGATGAACGGTACCATTGGTTCAAAACTGGCAGCAGTGTCGGGGTGGTATCAGGAGCAGTTTTGTTTGAATTTGTAGCCTGAGAGCTGTAGATGGTCAACTGGCATTTCGAGAGTGTAGATGGATTGCAACATGAGAGTTTTTGGACAGGAGGGGTAGCAGAAAAATGTTCTTCGATACAAGGGATTTCTCTGCATATTTTGGCAGGGGCTATTGGCCAAACAGCACATCTATATGTGGCATATTAGGTACCAGTCCGGGTTGACCGTTTGAGGAGCTGTTTTCAGCTGTCGCACTTGCACCGAATGTGGTAGGGTGAGTACACATGTTTATTTATGCGTGCTAGTGCACATGTGAGATTCTAAAAGATCTATAAGACATGTAAAAGAACCCTTGGCTCAAAGCTTAAAGAAGGCTGGTCCTTGGGTTCCAGAATCGCTTAAACCCTGAGAAAGCGATAAGAGGAGAAACATGGATATGTATTAAATTTTGATTGTTTGCCCCAATTTCGAGAACGTTTAGGTCATCAGAATGATATCAAAACAACAATGATCGTGTCTTTTTGTTCAACACCTCACTGTCCACTTTGAAGTCAGCATCCTAGTTATTTTTATTTTTTTATGCAGTGAGAGAGCTCACCTTAGCCTATGCTAGTCTCATGGAGAGGGCGATGAAGAGAGAGAGAGAGAGAGAGAGGGAGGGAGGGAGGGATTTTGTATTGTCCATTTAATGTCTCCCCCCTTGAGGCTAGAGGAGTTGCAACCTTTGGCTTGGGCGGTGTGGAAGAATGCCGAGAAAGCCAAAGCTGACAATGGGGAGAGTGTGCGCAGGTGGGGCTTGGCCATTAAACTGATGGGCATAAAGTTGAGCTTGCCATTGTGCTACTGATTCACAGCCAAAAAGCCATCAATCGTGCTTTAATTTGGCATCAATTGTAAAGCCACTAACTGCCGGCAGCTGTGCAGATTGAGTGTTAATATGCTAAGCGTTAGCATTACCTACTTTCATGGAGTTGTTCGCCAATTGACACATGCACACAATGCACACAGGAATCATGTTTTGCATCAAGGCCACCTCCACGAGACGAAACCAAAGCCTTCGTCAGCCATGCATTTCCTCGAGTGGATTTGGGACCGACTGTTTTGGTGGAGGCTTGGCATAGGGCCCAGCATGGTGCAGCATGATTAGTGCATGGACCCTAAGCATGCCCCCATACTAGGGAGATATTATCATATGTACTACATGCTATAGCCACGAGGACTCCAAGGACCCCTGTCCAGATTTGACTAGTAGACGGTAGACATTTCGTTTCAGCTTCGCATTCTTGCATTGTATTAACTGCGGCTCCAACATATTTGGTTGAGGAACCCGTTTGTTTTTCTCAACTTTTTTGCAGGAATGTATTGCTCCTGCTTTTGGTTTTGTTGTTTGTTTGTATTTTTGCTTGCTTGTTTCTGCTTTCCCTTTCACGGCAGCCCACCATAGGCTGGGCGTACTTGTGATATGCGAACGAAGTGAGATAATGAGGGGTTGTAAGGGGCAGAGGCCCAAACATGGCAACGGGTGCTCCAAATCACATGGGGAAAAGCGGAAGCGGCGGAGAGTGTGAAAAAGTGTCGATTTTAGGGTCTTCGTGATGATGTTGATGCGCAGGTTTGATGGTTGGCATATGTTGGCATCATGAGTATGACGGGTGGTGGGGTTCATGGATCAAAGGGGTAGGTCCTGAATGGCTATGGCCCATGGCTATGTAGGTGAGTGGATATACACTGTAGATGGATGGATGGCAGGGAGGGAGGGATGGATGGATGGACGGATGGATGGATGGAGAGAATGTCAGAGGGTAGACGTGGATGTAGGGGAGATACTGTAGGTGGCTGGACAAAAGCAATGCTTGAGAAGATAAACGTTAAAGTCAGGTGCCTTTGAACTCTGTGCCGGTCAGAGAAGCTGGATAACCGCAATGCTGAGAAGATAGATAATCCACTCTATGGGAGCCCTTTTTCCGGTTGTTGGAAGGGCGGAGAACTGAAAAAGGGTTGCCTCTTAAGCCTTAACTTTTTCGGGCACTCTGTGCTGATACAGCGAGAAGTGGGGGAGATAGAACGAACAATAGACATGTATAGTATAGATGTGTGTAGGTTTTGGTGGCAAGTAGATCAAATGGGTGGGCAGATGGGTGGCTGGAAAATGCCAGAGCGAGAGAGATCTAGAGGCATTTTTTTATGGCTTCATTGCCCAACAAAAAGGGCACTGCCCGCGCACACAAAGAGAACACCCGCACCCGCCTTGCAGACACTGGTTTTCCTAGCCTGCTTGTGTTTCCATTTTCCCGCTGTTGTTGCTCGTGTTTTGGCTTGTAAAGGGCATGCTCGTGTGTTTTTGGTCGCCTTTTTGATGGCTTCTGGTGGGTTCTGTTGCCCTGGGCTGGCTTCTTTGTTTTCCCACCGATTTGCTGACGGTTGCCCGGACTGATTGCACCATGCTGTGAGTGGCCAACTCTATGAAGCTGGAAGGAAGGAAGATAAGAAGGAACCCAAAAGAACAAGTCCTGAGCAAAGAAACCCTAAAGAAGTGAAACCCCAAACCAACCCCGAATCCCGAAAGAAAGGACCCCTGAAGCCAATTCCGAAGACACCCCTTAAGAATTGACACTCTGGGCATCTTTGGGCCAACCCCAAAGAAGCCTTTGAGAAGTGACACCCGAAACCAAACCCCAAAGATAAACCCTCAAGAATTGAATTTTGTCTCTCCCCTTTTTGCTCTTTGCCTCCCTCCCTTCCATTCCCTTCCTCTCTCTCCTACTCTTCCCACTTTCCCTTTCCCATATCTTTCCATCTCCCCCCACTCCGTCTCCCTCCCCCTCTCCCTCTCGCTCTCCTTGTCCTTATTCTTGTGCGTCTCCTGCTGCTTCTAAAACACTCCAGGATTGTGTTGCAGTGGGCATAATAAACCACAAAAACATACAAAAAACTACTATAAATAAATATATATATATGTATATAATCATGTTGGTTGACCCGCGTGTCAGTTACAAAGGTGATGGCAAGTCAGATGATGTCCTTGCGGGCCAATGATGTCGCTTGCCACAGAACGAGGAGAGTTTATCCCCGTAGAGCACGAGTTGGCTGCAGATGACTTTAACAACCAATCCAATATGTTGTTGACATGTGCCCACATTTGTTGAGTCAAGAATTCGTGTACTGGTATCATTTTAGTGCATGCTTGTGCTTTGCCCCTTGGCCCAAAAGCTTTCTTCTTGAGTCAGCTTTTAAGTAGATCAAAAGATGCCCAATTGCATAGGAAAGGCAATGCACTGGCTAAGGTTGCCACCTTTCTGACAACAGTTGCCCGCCTATAGCAGGTCTATACTCGGACCGCGGCTAATGATAATGACCTTGATTTACAGCGGCACGCTGTGTGGTTCCTGTTTGGCAGAGGTTTGCACCGACAATGACATAGAATGACCAATATTTATGTATTTATATACTTCCAACCTTTGACTCAGCGCTGTCTGCAACACAGGCCATGCATCACGCATCTCCAAATGGAAATGGCCCAGTTAGCCATTTGCTTGAAAAAGCAAGCCACTCTTGCAAAACTGCAAGACGCTTGGGTCGCCCAAGGCGCCCAAACTCGACGGAGCAGGGACACCTCGACGAAACGGAGCCATTGGGCCGCTGGGTGTCTGGGTCCCCCGTGCAGCCCACGCCCAGCGCGACGCAACACGCGTGCCAGGTGCACCGATGTGTTTTGGATCATACCCTTTATCATTTGCCTTGGACTTACGGTCTTCATTTGGAATGATGCTGGCGGCCAAGTGGGAAGCATGTTCTGATTGGCCACTTGACAACCTTATACAACAATTTTAACTATATATATATATATCCCGAATTGTGTTATCGACACCCCCTTGCATATTCCAAGATATTCCAAGTACCCAAAATGCTCCGCTTGGGGATGTTCAAAGTACTTTATGTCCTTTGGTCACAGCAGGGTACTTAGAACGGAATGTACTTTTGGCAGCTCGGTTCCGTGTTCTATGTATACTTAAGGACGGTTGCTGTATTATATTATATATATATTATATGTATTATATATTATATATATGTGTGTGTAACAGTGTTCTATCATGTTCACATTGCAGTATATACTTACTATTATGTTCAATATTTTTGCTTGGAGTCCCAGGATATCGCGATTAATTGGGTGGACATGGCCTTGCAAATTTGTCCAAGTTTGAGGCTATCAAAAATGGAAACCTCCACGACCTTGTGCCGGTTGCCCAGACCTATTGTGATGGTGCGAGGTGCAAAAGCAAGACCTTCAACACTGTTCCTAGATCCCAACGTTTTCTCCAGATAAAGTGAGCTATTGTTTTTTTTGGTTCGAGCTTGGATGCTGGTGCCGCTGCTGTGTGCGCTTGGGTGCTGGCGCCGCTGCAGCTGCGGAGTGCGGCTGCAGGGTGCTGCCCACAAATCTGGTTGCTATCTTATTTGGGGTCTATGCTGGCGTAATTTGCTCTAGGGAATTTTTGGCTAGGTTGGACAAAGCACGGGGAGACCTTAGACCATTGTTCTTCCACGCGTATTTACAGTAAGGGCCGACTTCATTCCAAGAGAGAGAGAGAGAGACATTGCCCATTGCCATTCAGGAGCCTCCCAGATCTCAATGGCAATCTTTGTGGCCATGGGGTCAATCGGGACATGGGGCCGCCATGGGCCGCCGTTCTTTGTTTTTGAAGTTTGCATGATTATGCTGAGCTATGTTGGGGCGCAAGCTGCTTGATATTGTCAAAGAGTTTTCGAAGCATTCTGAAGCGTTTAGTTCGTATACAGTTGACTATGCTACAGGAGGAGAGAGAGAGAGAGAGAGGGAGAGCTTGCTGTGTGAGGAAACTTCCTTTTTCTGGGTCAAGTCTCCGGGTGTTATACAACATGATTGACAATGTGTTACTTTCGCAGGCTGTTTCTTGGAGCTCCATCACCTAGAAGTGAACGGGCAACACAAAAGATGCATTTAAATTTATGCTAGGCTGTGCCAGCCACTTCACAGCACATAGCCCACATAGCCTTGGTTTGAACTCTTGCTGCATATGTTACACTGCGCCTGAATATGCAGTTCAATGTGGATTGGGTTGGCTTGATGTATAAGTATTTGCACCTGCTTGCTGGCCTTGTTGGCAGTCGGCCATAGCATTGTTTGGCTTTTAAATAAAGTTGAACATCTTGATTGCAGGACAAGCCTTTTCTCTACTTTTGCATGCAACAGAGCAGCCAGTGGGTCTTCCAGGGCAACGACAAGAGGTCTGGGCTGCAGACAATGGCGTTCCATAGCTGATGCACTTCATACGCCAACTAACAACAATAGGATATTTTATCATTATCATTATCATATACGTATACTTCACACGCAATGTTACAAAGCATTCATGTTCAACTAGTGGACGTTCCCAAGACTAAATTTTAAACACATTCCACGAGTCTACATATATAGATAATTAGACGGACGCTGTGGCTGTTTCAGCATTCTTGAAGCTGTGCCGTGATTCTCGGCAGGTTGGACATGGCCAACCCTGTTTGCGTGGGGCAGCGTGCTTAAAAGATCACTTCGCAAGCCGACTTCCAAGACCTTTGAACAACGAGTAGCAACGATACTGGAAGCAGTTAATTACCATGCACAATCCGCCGGCGTGCTGATTGTGTCCTGTTGTATGCTGTTACTTATTATGTTCTTTTTTGGGGGCGATTCTGCATTAGCAAGGCAATCCATGTTGATAAGTTCAGGTTGCAAAGCCATTTGGGCAGTCATTTTGCCCAGGATGTGTCCCGGCACCTACAATACAAGCACTCGGCTTTAGTCCCAGCATTTCTGTTTCAATTTGCGCTGTGGGTGACAGGGCAGGCTGGCTCGGGTGTTTCCTGGGCTTTGTTTTGAAGACGGTGGTGTCAACGCACGGAACTGGGCTTTGGTCTGAATGGTTTTCAACTTCTCCAAAAAAAAACAGCAATACAAGTCTGGGTTTGTCAATCATGTTTCTGACCCAATGTCAGACCTCCACATCGGCTATCCTCTTGTAGTGGATCATTGGAATTAAGTATCGTCCTTACGGTGGGGCCCGAGCCCGGATGAGGTCCATCAGCCTTCAAAGGTCCATCAGTTTTTCAAGTTTACGGGAGAAAGCCTCTCCAAGCCCGCCTGAACAGGCACAGAGAAGGCCTCGCACGTGGGACCTGATCACTTATATAATCCAATAAATCACACGGATAATGATTTCGTACGATTTTCATGGTTTGCGCTAAGTGTCCCATTTGACCTTTGACCAGCCACCGTTGTATGCATTCGATTCTCCGAAGCTGGTGCCCCAACCAGTTTTGAGAACGATCCTGGAAGTGCCAAGTGTGTAGGCAGATTTGCCTTGACTCCACTTTTCAGATGCTTGGGGCGTTCGGGACACACTCAGCCGGTAGGACCCGCTTAGACCTCAAATCAAGATAAATCAAGAAGGTTTGCCCTAGCCACTCCATCCTGTGGCCGGCTCAAGAGGTGTTGGCTGCCGCTCAATCAGACCTATGCATGGGCCTGGAGCTCGGCGGTCCACGGACCGGATCGGACCGGATCGGACCATCACCGGATCGGCACCGGACCGGCACTGCCAAAGTCTTTTGGTGAGTCACACGATGAGTATCGGTGGGTCACGACTGCGATTGGCATCTTCCAGTGGAACACCTCCAAGCATCTCGCTCAACCAAGGTGCAAGACTATCCCACCCAAGCGCTGGGAGCTTGGCAGAGCTCGAAGCTAGATTCATCATGGTCGATCCATATGGGCGTATATTAAAATAGGCTCTTGGTCTACAGGAAAAGGGGGTCTTTGGGAGGTCTCCCTTAATACACTCCCACATGTCTTTGACGTCGCTCCGTGAAGTTCAAGAGTTGGGACTTTCTGGTTTTGTATCATCTTGGCCAACAAGCTTCTGCTTTAAAAGTGACTAGTGACAGAACCGATCCATGGTTTGAATGGTGGGATATTGGGGGATCAAACGGATCAAACGATATCAAAGGGTTCTCAGTGGGAGGATGTCGGCAATGAAAGTTGTGATCTCAAGTGTTGAGCAGCGTCTCTGTCACAAGATGGAAGCCGTGGCGATATTAGGTTCATCGGAATGCTTTGCCGACCCTCACGAAAGTTTACCCAGTCACTGTCTGACCAGGCGTGGTTCTTTGGGGTACTGTATCTATCCGGACAGTTGTTGTGTTTTGCCGTTTTGTTGTTTCTGTTTGGTCGCTGCTTCAACTGGTTCAATGATATCTCAGAGCTGAGTGTATAATCTCACGGTCAGATGTGGATGGCGAAACCTGGCGGCCAATATGTAGGATCAACCGATACCCTTGTTTTTGCACGATAGTGCCTTGTGCATGGTCATTGGAGGATGCCCTCGTGATGTGTGCGGCTTTCGTCATTTTTGGCCCGGCTCCATTCAGACAAATGCAGATTTGAGCTTATCCTAATCTCAAGTTGGGCGGCGGTTTCATCATCTCCGAGCCCCAGAAGCATCAACGCCGATGGTTGGCCCCCCACTCCAATTCCACACAGTTCGCACAACAAGAACATCATATCAATATAGCTAACTTAAAAATAGAGACCAAACGTTTCACATTCTGTGCGATTTCATGGATGAAGCTCCTGACGGCTCTTTTGTTAGGCGGGAAATCCGGTCTTGCATCGTCTTGCTGTTAGGCCCTGTGAGGCTGTAGCTGAAGACACTGAACATGGCTTCAGCTTTGTTGACACACTTTTTCCTTGTGTTCCCAGTTTAGGACCAATTGTCATCGCCCAACTGTTTTGACCTCGCACAATGAGGAGCCTGCTTCTGGCGGGTGCTGTCCGCCGATGCGCAGCAAAGAGTGCCTTTCGAAGCCCAGCACTTTGCTCAGTTTCGGTGTTTGGTGAGCTCCCTCTTACTTCAAAAGGGCCGGAGCCTGCTTGCTTGCAACTGAGGTGCTTCTTTGAAGGAGAAGCGGGCTCCATTGTAGCCTGGCTTCACCTGGGCGGACGGCGCAATGTAAATAACCATGATTACAAATTACAAATAATTACAATGCATGGGAATATTCCTCCCTAAGCCTATCATGCTCAGGACCGATCTGATACTACAATTTCTTTGCTCCACCAGGCACGGCATGGCCTTAGGAGACTTTACGCAGTGCAAAACAACTCCGAACAGGGGCGTTTGAGCGATTGGTAGATCGTTTTTGCACATGTTCATTGTAATTGAGGCGGCCAAACGGCAAATGACAGAGAGAGAGAGAGAGTCGTTTGTCCACTGCTTGATCAAATGACATCGAATGATCATCCTTTTTTGGTGCCTTTTGATGAGCAGTGCGTCAGTTTCGAAAGGGGCCCGATGGAAGGATTGGAGCTCACATGAGTTGGTGACCTATGTGGCTGCATTCATTCTGAAGGAATGGTTGGGCTACAACGTGGAGCTGGTGCGCCTCAAGCGCCTGGGCACGACCGAGCTGGTTTCAGATCGTTTCAGTTCAGGCGGAGGATTTAGCTGTTGAAGCTGGAGGTGCTGAAGAGTAGCGGAAGTCTGGTAAGGGTAAGAGTCTGACTCATTACAGGTGTACAGGTTTACAACCTTGCATCCCAAGCACGGTTGTGGCTTTTGTTGGCGAAATGTGTGCATCTCTTTTGAGGGAGATGGCGAACAGCGAAGAGTATCGCAGGAGACTTGAGACCATGCGGGAAGGCAGGGAGACCAATTGCACCGTTTGATGTGTTGCTGTGCAGCACCGCTTGGGTAGATCTTAAGCTCATATAGCTTGGCACAGTGCTTGGCACAGCTTGTAGGTTGCCACTGTTTGTGAAGCCATGTGTAACCACATAAGGGTATTTGGGTAGTCTTTATATCGTCGTTTCCGATTGGTCTCAGTGTTCATCTTAGTTGACGAATTGACTTTTTGTCCTTGCAGGTGTGTGGGATGCTGACCTAGAAAGCTGGCTGTTGATTATGGAGCGACAACATCGCGAAGATATGCTCACTGTGGTTGAGCCACTTCAACCCATTGGCTATAGTGGTCGTTCAGGCGGCTCAAGGAATTCGAACGCTGTACAAATTGTAGTGCATGTTAAGTCGAATGTGCTTCTGATCTTGCTCAAGGTAATGATGGTCGCTTGCCAACTCACTCACATATAGGAATGGCATGGAATGGCAATGTTGCTGGGAAAGGACATTGGCTGAGAAAAACTCTATGTATGTTCAAGAAGATGATTGCGCTTGCAGGCCTATACGTGATGCCTCAAGTTCTTGAGCAGGACAAGTTCGCAGATTGGTGGAAGTTCTATTTGCAACCAGGACATGGCTGGCCAACATTCTGCTTCGTCAAACAACTTGGCTCACTGCCACTGCCAAGACGACTTGATAACTGCGACAAAAGATCGTTCGAAGCTGTTCAGGAGGTCGGCAGAGCGCAGATTCAGCGGATTCCCCTTAAGTGTCATTTTATAACAACCGCTTTTTCATAGTATACTAATCCCCCACCGGTGTTCGCCTAAGGCCTATAAAATGCCGATGCTGTTGTGCTTATATTATGCCAATTTTGACCCTCATTATATAGGGGACCCATGCGGTGCACACTTGGAATCTTGATGTTTTTTTGAGGGTTTAGGAGGTACGAGGTCCATTTTTGCATTTCACAAACTGGAGTGATTTTGAGGCTGTTTGGGTCCAAGGGTCATTTTATAGCAGGAGTTGATTTTTCTTAATTTAGATACTGGCACCTGGTCAGGGCATTTTATAATCAACATGGTTTTGTCAATGTTCTTTGACAAGTTCATACATGACCCAACTAAGAGGACACACTAAAATCAGGAAACTAACATGAAGGGAAGACAGGACATGAAGGGATTAGAGCAGGAAACTACTTTAAAAAATATTGGTTGTCTATGTTTTTACAAAAATGTTTGTCAACTCTAAACATCAATGGAAGAAAAGAACCGAAGGAATATGACCAGCCAAATAATTAACAATTAACAATTAAACTGTTTCAACTTTTTTCTCTCCCCCTGTCTCTGTGTCTCCTCCCTTAAGGGGAGAGACCGGTTGGCCTTTCGGCTGTGCCCCTTAACGGGGGAGGGAACGGTGCCCCCGCAACCGCGGTTTCTGTCGGATCTCTCGTTCCAGTTTCCACCCCGTGTCCCTCCCCGGAACGGTGAACCATGTCTTCCCTTCATGTCCTGTCTTGTCCGACTTTTGTCTTGGCATTTCATTGTTTTGGACATTGTGGCTTGCCGTTCGCCTTCTTTGTGCTTGCACCCACGCGTTTCATTATAGAGACAGAGTGTTTTTTGTATATATTCTATGGTGAACCCATCATGGGCATTATATAGGCCTGCTGTTTTTTTTTAATTTTTACCTCTCAATGTTCAGAATCCACCTTCCCCATTTTTTAGTTTGGATGCTTTTTGCTCAATTTGGCATTTTATAGAAAATCCACCCTCTCTAGGCATTTTATAGGGCCCAAAGTTTATAAAATGCATCTAAAAGCATCCAACCTAACAATGAGGGGGATGTATACTAGATATATACAATATACAACTGCAAGACTGCAAGCGAATTAGTTGTCTTCAGAACTTGACTCTCGGGTCGCTGATTTCATGGTTTGACATTGGGATTGTTGAGTTGGCTTGTCCTTTCCTTCCGGTGTGCAGGACATGCTAGGTCCTTGGGCTTTCGTGGTTTGAACCAGACGAGGCTCAGGAAAGACCTTGAGGAGAAATTTCCGGTGTGCAACTTGGCAGAAGTAGTAAGAGTCTTCAAATGAAAAATTGGTTGCCGGATAGTTGGGCAGTATCACATGGTGCTACAAGCGGCATGAGTGTTTCGGCCAGACTTCAGGTCAGCAAGAGGAGTACCCGTGGTGCGGCGCAAGCGGTGGAAGCTTTGAAGGTTTTTGGGTTCCGGAGCACTGCGTCGAGAACATCTCATCTTGCACCTCAGCCGAGAATGAATTTCCTCAGCCTGACTCGCAATGGCACGAGGAACCACAAGAGTGCAAAGGGTGGAAGAAGGAACAATGTCAATTATGCATGTACTCATATATACATTCATATTTTACACTCTGACTATTCCGATTCCGCGACACTTTCACTCGTGCTCGAGGCGTGCTGGTGGAAATGGGCGAGCCAAGCTGGGACCAGGGTTACTTTGAGCAGGTGCGCTCAGCATGGACAGTCATCGTGACATATCGTGACCAATTAAAACAACGGTGACTAGACACTAGTCACAGCTAGTCACTAATTAGTTGGAATGTGGTAGGAGTAGGTTTTTCTTGGCGAATCCCTGAAAACCACCGTCCAGGTGGTTCAAAATCTCAAGCTGCCTATGGTCTTCGCATACCTTGGGAGTGATGTGTTGTCCCGCCGGCGAGCGGAGCTTGAAGATGCTCCAGAGAATGCGACCTGGAGAGACAAGTCAGCTATTTGCGTGGTTTGTATTGGGGCCATGGGCCACCTGAGCCAGAAAAAAAAGGTGGATTGATGTAAAGTAGTATTGTCGGATCCTTCGTTCAGAATTCCACGCACCGCCGCAGCTATTTCTGATGTTTTCTGTCTTTGTGGAATGTGTTATTTAGTTGGGGAACGACCCTCCAGACGACGTCCAAAACGACATTGGAACGACCTCCTTAACTACGTGCATCATGTATTTGCTGCTGCTGCTCTTGCTCCTCTTGCTTCTCCTGCTCCTGCTGTTGCTCCTGCTCCTTCTGCTGCTCCTGCTCCTCCTGCTCCTCCTGCTGCTCCTGCTGCTGCTGGTGCTGCTGCTGGTGCTGCTGGTGGTGCTGCTCCTGCTGCTGCTGCTGCTGCTCACCACCGATGGACAGTATTTAGCCAAATTTCTCAGCGAAAAAACGACCTCTGAACGACATCCGCATTTCAGTCAGAATGACCACTACTACTGACTACTTCTACTTCTACTTCTGCTTCTACTACTACTCCTCCTGCTGCTGCTGCGACTGCGACTGCGACTACTACTACTACTACTACTACTGCTACTGCTTCTACTGCTACTGCTACTCCTACTCCTACTCCTACTCCTGCTGCTGCTCCTGCTGCTGCTGCTGCCCACTTTCGCTGGACAGTATTTAGCCAGATTTCTCGGCGAAAAAAACGACCTATGAACGACCTCTGAACGACGTCCGCATTTCA